CCCCAAAACCCCAAAACCCCAAAACCCCAAAACCCCATAAAAGTCAGAATTTGCTGAATTAACTAAATGGAGTCTAAACTTAGTGAAGCAGACGAAGGCGTCCTTGTAGTCAAGGATAAGCACTGGCATACGGAGATTATTAAGAAAGACAAGCTTATAGGCAAGCATACGGTTTATGTTAAGAATTGTGATATGGTCACGGTGTTTTTGGTACCTCCTGTGGGGAATGTTGTGGTCGAGAGTGTGAAATCAGTCACTCTTTGTATTGGAATTGTGACTGGGAGGATTGTGGTTAGAGGGATGAGTAGTTCTACTCTTCATGTGGCTGCTAAAGCAGCAGAATTTCGTGATATTCGAGGAACAGGGGTTTATATACATACTGAATCGGCTATTGAATGGTATAATCCTAATGAAGTTTCTGTCTATCCTTACTGTCTTCATGATAAGCTTGGATATTATACAAGTTATCTCAGTGATGCTGAAGAATGAGGATTTTCCCTATCAGAAAATCACTATTCTGAAACTAAGAACTCGAAGGTGAACATTCTTTCTCATGAAGACTTAAGCAAGGTTGAATCAACAACAATATGGCCTAAAGCAGGTGAAGGAGTCTATGGTGGAAAAGCAACCTTTGATAAAATTTATGGTGATGATACAGCTGAGGAAGAAGAATATAAGGAGCTTTCTGGTCCAAATGTCTTCCATGTAAAGAACAAACGTTGGCATACTGAAACCATCCAGGAAAGACATCTTGAAGGTAAGGATACAGTACTCATCGAGGGCCTTGAGATGTGCACAGTTTTTCTAGTCCCTCCTGTAAAGAAAGTGATCGTTCGTAATGTGAAGTCTGTGACTATTTGCATTGGAATCGTTACTGAGAAGGTCACTGTCAAAGGAATGAAAGAATCCACCTTCCATTGTGCCGCCAAAGAGGCTGAATTCGATAGAACTTTCGAGACAGCAATCTATATGCATACTGAAACACCCATACAATGGACAAATTCTGGCGGATTCACTCTGAATCCCTACTGTTTGCATGACAAGCTCGGTTATTATACAAATTACGCTCATGACGCTGAAGAAAATGGATTTACTCTGTCTGAAAACCATTATGCTGATGTCAAAGAAGTAAAGATAGATATTAAGACTCCGAAAGACTTGGACGGAGTTGAAGCTAGTACGATTTGGCCTAAAGCAGGCGAGGAAATTTACGGTGGTAAAAGAGTCTTGCAAGAAATTTATGAAGAAGATAAGAAGGAAGAAGACAGTTTCGATTTGAGTGATCCAAATATATTAGCGGTGAAGAACAAGACTTGGAACTCGGAGATTATCAAGAGAAAGCAACTTATTGACAAAGATACAGTATACCTATCAGATCTAGAGATGTTTACAGTTTTCCTCGTTCCTCCAGTTAAAAATGTCTTCATTCAAAATGTCAAGGCAGTCACTATCTGCATTGGGATGGTTACTGAGAAGATTACAATTAAAGGGATGAATGGTTGAACTCTTCATGTGGCTGCTAAAGCAGCAGAATTTCACGATATTCACAGAACAGGGATCTATATCCATACTGAATCTGCCATAGAATGGAATAATTCCGATGGGATTCAGATGTATCCTTATTGCCTTCATGATAAACTTGGATACTATAAATATTACAGTCGCGATGCTGGCCTATGCGATTTCTCACTTGCGAACAACCACTACTCAGATACAAAGACAGAGGGTGTAAATATTCAAGGATATGAAGAACTTGACAAGGTAGAACCAACCGCTATCTGGCCTAAAGCAGGCGAGGAGATATACGGTGGCAAAGAAGCATTTGACAAAATCTATGAAGATGAGTCTGATGCTTAAATTGATCAGAATATCTTCAATGTTGCAAAATAATTCAGGGGTTTTGGGGTTTTGGGGTTTTGGGG